TACCTGAAAATAACAAAAACCATATGAAAAAAACCCACAGTCAACATCATAATGATTGGGGAAAAGTTGAAAGTACTCCTCTAAGATCTAGAACAAGACAAAGGATGCTTACTTTCACCACTCTTAGTCAAAATAGTACTAACAGTCTTAGCCAGAGCAACCAGGAAAGAGAAAGAAATAAAGATATTCAAACTGGAAAAGAGGAACTCAAATTATCTGTTTGCTGATGTTACAATCTTATACCTAGAAAAGCCTAGAGATCCCTCCAAAAGGCTCTTAGATTTGATAAAAGAATTCATTAAAGTTTCAGAAAATCAATGCACAAAATCAGTAACATTTCTGTACACCAATAACAATCAAGCTGAGATACAAATCTAGAAGTAAATTCCATTGACAACAGCTACAAAAAAATTTAAATACCTGGGAATACAGTTAGCCAAGGAGGTGAAAGATCTTTGCAAGGAAAACTTCAAAATACTGATGAAATACATTGCGGATGACACAAACAAATGGAAAAAAATATTCCATGCTCATGGATTGGAAGCATCAATGTCATTAAAATGACCATACTGCCCAAAGCAGTCTACACAGAGTCAATGTATTTCCTATAAAAATACCAATGTCTGTTTTCACAGAGTTAGAAAAAAAAAATCCTAAAATTCGTATGAGACCAAAAAAGACCCAAAACAGCCAACGCAATCCTAGGTAGAAAGAACAATACTGGAGGTATTGCATTACTTAACTTCAAATTATACTACAAGGCTATCGTAACCAAAACAGCATGGTACTGGTTTAAAAACAGACACACAGATCAATGAAACAGAACAGAAAACCAGAAATAAATGCACATACCTACAGCCTCCAGATCTTCAACAAAGTTGATAGAAACATACACTGAGAAAAGGACACCCTATTCAATAAATGTTGCTGGGAAAATTAGCCATATCAAGAAGAATGAAATTGGATTCATATCTCTCATCATTTACAAAATTAACTCAAGATGGATTAAAGAGAAGGAAGAAAATATGGATTAAAGACTTAAACGTAAGACCCGAAATTTTTAAAAGTGTAGAAGAAAACCTGGGAAGAACCTATCTGCTGATTGGCCTAGGCAAAGAATTCATGACTAAGACCTCGAAAGCAAATGCAACAAAAACAAAAATAGACAAATGGGACTTAATTAAACTACAAAGCTTCTGCACAGCAAAAGGAATAATCAACAGAGTGAAAAGACAACCTACAGAATGGGAGAAAATATTTGCAAACTATACATAAGACAAAGGACAAATATCCAGAATCTACAAGGAACTCAAACAACTCAACAGGAAAAAAACAAAAACAAAAACAAAAACAAAAAAACACTTCATTAAAAAGTGAGCAAAGGCCATGAACAGATGTTTTTCAAAAGAAGACATACAAATGGCTAACAAACATATGAAAAAAAATGCTCAACATCACTAATCATCAGATAAATTAAAATTCAAACCACAATGCAATACCATCTCACACCAGTCAGAATGGCTATTAAAAAGTCAGAAAATAACAGATATTGGTGAGGATGTGGAAAAAAGAGGACACATATACACTACTGGTGGGAATGGAAATTAGTACAACCTGTATGACAAATGGTATGGAGATTTCTCAAAGAACTAAAAACAGAACTGCCATTCAATCCAGCAATCCTACTACTGGGTATCTACCCAAAGGAAAAATCATTATATCAAAGATACCTGTACTCATACATTTCTCGTAGATTTATTCACAATAGCAAAGATATGGAATCAACCTAAGTATCCACTGATGGATGACTGAATACAAAAAAATGGTGTGTATATACACCATGAAATATTACTCAGCCATTAAAAAGAATGAAATTATGTCTTCTGCAGCAACATGGATAAAACTAGAGGATATTATCTTTTTTTTTTTTTTTTTTTTGAGACGGAGTCTCGCGCTGTGTCACCCAGGCTGGAGTGCAGTGGCGCGATCTCCGCTCACTGCAAGCTCCGCAAGCTCCGCCTCCCGGGTTCACGCCATTCTCCTGCCTCAGCCTCCGAGTAGCTGGGACTACAGGCGCCCGCCACCACGCCCGGCTAGTTTTTTGTATTTTTAGTAGAGACAGGGTTTCACCATGTTAGCCAGGATGGTCTCGATCTCCTGACCTCGTGATCCACCCGCCTCGGCCTCCCAAAGTGCTGGGATTACAGGCTTGAGCCACCGCGCCCGGCCGAGGATATTATCTTAAGTAAAATAACTCAGAAAGTCAAATATTGCATACTGTCACTTATAAATAAGAAATAAATAATGTATACACATGGACATAGAGCATAGAATAATAGACACTGGAGACTCAGAAAGGTAAGAGGGTGAGAAGGGGTGAGGAATGAGAAATTAACTCATGGATACAATGTATACTATTCAGCTGATGGTTACACTAAAAGCCCCAGACTCCACTACTAGGAAACATATCCATGTAACAAAATGCACTTGGATCCCCTAAATGTATAAAAATAACACTATTCAGCCATTTAAAAAAAATGAAATTGTCATTTGTGACAACATGGATGAACCTGGAAGATATTATGTTAAGTGAAATGAGCCAGACACAGAAAGACAAATACCACATGATCTCACTCATATGTGGAATCTAAAAAAGCTGATCTCATAGAAACAGAATAGAATAGTGGTTACTAGGGACTAGGGAGGGGATTGGGAATATGATGATGGGAAGAGAATGGTCGACAGGTACGAAGTTACAGTTAGATAGGAATAATAAATTCTGGTGTTACATTGCACAGTAGAGTGACTATAGTTAACAATAATGTATATTTGAAAATAGCTAGAAGAGTGGATTTTGAATATTCTCACCACAAAGAAATAAATGTTTGAGGCAATCAATGTGTTAGCTAATTACTCTGATTTGATGTGTCAATTAAAAATAAAACTTTCAAAAATCATCAAAAAAGTAAATAGATATGCTAAGTGAAAGAAGCCAGACATAAAAGTCACATACCTTACAACTCCACTTATTTGAAATTCTAGAAGAGGTAAAACTATAGTGAAAGAAAGCAGACAAGTTGCTGGGGTTGGGGGGTGGTGAACCATAAAGGGAATGATAGACATATTACTTGTTTTGACTGCGGTAGTGTTTCATAACTACACACATTTCCAACACATCAAGCTTCATACTTACATTTGATTAATTTTATTACATGTAAATTATGTAATAATTTACCTGAGAAGGTCTAGCTCTATTTAATCATTTAGGGGAAAACAAACACACACACACACACACACACACACACACACACAAAAAACTGTCTTTGAGTATACAAGATCACACAGTTGGCAAAACAGGACTAGAATCTAGTTCCATAAATAAAATCCAAAGCTCTTTATATCATATAAATTGCCACTATTTGGCAGTAGGGAGTGGTGGTGGTGGATGCTTATATTGGTAACTCAATACCTCCTGCTGGAATACAGATTTAAAACCCTTATTCTGAAACTTTGAAGAATTCATAAAGTTATATTAGGGAAGGCTATAATCAAAACACTGAGCAACAGATGTTCACTTTCTATCAGTAATATGCTCATTCATTTTATTCTGGCTATGTTTGCTTACCAAGTTAAATTTTTTACTATCAACCAGCATTCTATCCCTTTGATATACATCTATCAATTGGTCTCAATATTTGAAAAACAATGTAAAAAGTTTAATTCATGATTCTAATGTATTATGACTGTAGCTTATGCTAAATGCAAACAATACTTAGTTTTCTTTAAAAAATCACATTGAAGTAACTTATTTCAGGTAAATTCCTAACATAATTCCACAATTGTTTTTTCTTTTGAATGCTTTGATATTATTGACATTTCATACAAAAGTGGAGCAAAATATGAGTTCCCTTCTTTTTAGTATTATTTTATCACTCTCCTATTCATTTTTCTTAGCAATCTTCAATAACAGAAAAAAAAAAGACGTTTATGGCTCCTTCAATTGCCAATTTTTCTTTTTGCTTTTGGTTTTCTGATTTTTCTATACTGAGATGATGATGCTGTGTCTTAATTTTACTGAATAAAAAGAATGTCCTACTCTGCAGTCACTCTATTTGCCTTCCAGATCTGCATAGAGTTCTAGGATTAACACAACTTTTTCTGCTTACTTATTACAATGTAGTGCCTACCTGAGGATAGAAAACTGAAACAACAAATAATATGTTTTCAAAGATAAACAGTTGGCTTTTCTTTTACCCTCATATTCCTGATTAAGATCACCCTAGTCTGAATTTGCCAATGGAAAATGTCTAAGCTGCAAAAGATACCTGAGGCTAGATGTACAATTAGTAGTTGTTTCGTACATACCCTAGGTTGATTAAGATAATTAGAAACACACTCTAGGTTAATTAAGATAATTTTTAAAGGGTTAATCTTTTTCATCTTTGCAACTTCTCTCCCTCTGAAATAAAGGCATACACCTTAACCCATAATTCAATGTCTTGATGTAGGAAGTCTAAGCAACAGTATTTCGTAAGACACAAATTGCCACATTGCCGAAGCTTTAAATGAGATAACCACATATATTCTGCGTGTTGGGTAATATTTCATCTGCACAATGAACAAAAACTAGCTGAAGTTGGGATTTAAAAATTACTGTTAGCAAAATGACAGCTATTAGGAAAACAGATTTCTAAAAACTTAAAAGCAATTCTGACATACACTGCTTATTTACCATTACTTAAAACACAGTGTAAGGAAAGAAAATATTACCTATTACTAACAAAACTATGTAGACAGAAAAAAAATTAGAACAGGAGTCCTTAGGCCACAATAAGACCCCTAAATATCACAGAACATAAAATTGTATAATTTAAAAGTTCAATTAAAGTTGAAAACAAAGTTATTTAAAACAACAGCACAGAATCTGTGCTATGAGAAAAAAAAAAGATTGAAAGGAAGGGGGATGAGAAAGGTGAGAAAAGCACTACCAGACTCCTTACCCATTGTTGTTGGTGCTGGAGCTTCCTGATGGTATTTTCAGCTTGCTCCAGCTTAGCACTGGCCTCATCACTCTGCTGTTTGATGGTGGCCAACTCCCGTTTTATGAGGTAGTTTTCCTCAGCCTCCTGGGCTCTTGTCACTTGTCCCTTAGGACATAATTTTTTTGTGTGTAAAGCAATTTAGGATAGATTCAAGAAAGACTGCCTTTGTGAGGTTTAGTTATTTACTTTGACATGTTAAAAAAAAAGTCACCTCAGCGAATAGAACAGCCTAGGTAATCATTAGCTAGCAGCTTGTTATTGCTCCAGCAAATTTTGGGAAACTAAATGAAAATTTCACCTGACAAGAACAATTCTTCTTTCAGTCAATAACAATTTAATTCATGCAATATTACTGAGTTGTACATGCAGGACTAAAATTTTCAATGAATAGTAGTTAATTTCACAGAATCCACTTATTGCCACTTTGAAATAAATACTTAAAAAAATAAGGTTAGCTTTAAAACGTGCAAAAATAAAACAAGATAACACTTTGTTATAAAAAATTAAATTTATACCCACATACACCACCCAAAAAATTATTTCTAGAAAAACGCATGTAAAATTGCATGCATTAAAATATGAATTTTGAGGTTTAGGACTTTCCTTAGAAGTTAGAGAAGATGTTTAAAAGAACTAAAACAAAACAAAAACTATACCTGTATCAATCTATCTGCCAAGGAAGCACTTTCCTACAAAAGGAAAAATTCAGATAGAAATATAAGAGAAAGAAATAAAAGTGATAAAATTAGGAAAAAAGAAACAAATATATGCAAATTCCATCTACTTTTCATTGCTAATTGAAATGGACATTTAAATTTTAAAACCATTTTTTACTGAATGTGTTTTTATTTTTAAACCTTAAGAAAAATATACAAAAACAAGGATAGGTGGTTGAAAATCATGTGTTTCCTGAAGATACCAAACACAAAGTCCAAGCGGTTTTTCATTACCTGCAACAAGCACAGTTTTCTGTTTGTTTGTTTGTTTGTTTGTTTAATAGAGACAGGGTCTCACCCAAGCTAGAATGCAATGGTATGATCACATAGCTCATTGTAACCACCAACTCCTCGGCTCAAGGAGTTTATCCTTCTGCTTCAGCCTCCTCAGCAGCTAGGACTACAGGTGTGTGCCACCATGCCCAGCTAGTTTTAAAATTTTTTGTAGAGATACAGTCTAGCCATGTTACCCAGGCCAGTCTTGAACTCCTGGCCTTACGCAATCCTCCTGCCTCAGCCTCCCAAAGTGTGGGGATCATAGGCGTGAGCCACTGCACTCAGCCAAATATTTCTTCTTCTTCTTGATGTATTTACATCTTTTAGACTTAATCCATATTGTCAACCCACTTATATGAAAGGGAGAAGGAATTTGAGTAAGCAATTCCACTTAAAAAGTGTGACAGCAATTTGTACAACAGCAACTTTCAAAGAAACAAAGCAAGGAAAATATGACAAATAAAATTAATGAGCTAAACTTAAACGTTAGCAATAACTGAGAAAGTATACCTTTTTATTACAGAATTCAATTGATACATAGTATTTATAGAATTCTAAGTGCTAAGTGACACACCTGGGCCATCTAAGCCAATAAAAAAAGGAACTTAATTTTCTAGAAGCAAAATCCAAACTTAACATTTTCTTACAGCCTTGTTATCATTCCGAAGGTTCGATGAAATACTATAATGCTTTCCCGGTTTAAACGTCTTACTCCAAAGATTAAAAAAAAAACAAAAACAAAAACACCAAGACGACGCGCATATTTGATTGTAAGCTAGATATTTAGTGGGAAAAAAGAGTATATAATTAAAACAACTTAAAAGCAAGCTCAATCTTCCTGTGGAGTCACCAAAAGTAGAATTATTCTCATAGCAACCCTAACATGATGACAGAAAAACAGGGAAATTATTTTTGACTTAATATGATGTATCTGCAATTATTATCCAACAAAGGCAGACATGTAATAAATGTCCTGTCCTTATTATGCACTTCTATTTAATATGAAATCATCAAAACTTTTCAAACCAATGACAAATACTACAAAATATTCATATTTCCATTTATTTATTTCTTGAATATTTATCTGTAGATTTTCAGGGAAGATTTTAAGATCCTTGGCAATATGATGAGGGGTATGTTTAAATCTACTTAATCTCATCTCTAGTTAAAGAAAGAAAAAAGTGGTCAGGCACGGTGGCTCATGCTTGTAATCCCAGCACTTTGGGAGGCCGAGGCAGGCAGATCACAAGGTCAGGAGATCAAGACCATTCCTGGCCAACATGGTGAAACCCCGTCTCTACTAAAAATACAAAAATTAGCTAGGCGTGGTGGCGCACGCCTGTAATCCCAGCTACTTGGGAGGCTGAGGCAGGAGAATCGCTTGAACCTGGGAGGCGGAGCTTGCAGTGAGCCACGATTGAGCCACTGCACTCCAGCCTGGGCAACAAAGCGAGACTCTGTCTCAAAAAAATAAAATAAGAAAAAAGTACCAAAAGAGTGTGAATTCAGATGTCTTTCTTTTAATAAAACGAAATTCTTAAACCATACTTTTACTACTCAATTCATTCTTATAGCATCTGAAATGACTACAAAAGATTTTTCATCAGAAGCACAGTATGAAAAATAATGCAAAATTTCCATATTTGCCCAGTTATTCTGTATAAAACAGAAAATGTAACAAGTAGATACCAAAATAATTATAAGAACTAAAAGTTTATGCACAATTCCTTTGTGTTGAAAATCAATATAAGAGTGAATTTTTATGTAAGGAAGCAGTCAGTCACTTCAACTAAAAGCAATCCTAGGCCTTAAAGGAATCACCGCCACGTTCAATATGCTAGAAAGTCCAGGGCAACATTTGAAACTCATCTTTAAAATGCTATATTAGAATGGACTCCCAACTAAATTCTAAAAGAACATACTTTTTAGAAATTATGTGTAAAGAAAACAAATAGTATCAATATGTTACTCTTAATCTCAGTTAAAACTTGAATATTAAAGTTTAAGAACCACTACAACTGATCAATTTTTTATTAGTAACAAGTTATCTGGCTAAATAGTAAGGTAAGCAAGCTAAGCATTCAATACTACAACATAGGAGACATGTGCCAGAATTTTTGAGGATTTTTAATAAATATACAGAAAAAACACTAGGCATTCAACAGAAGCTTGCATAAGTAGTCACTTACTTTTTCTAATGTCTCGATGCGCTGTTTTAAAAGTCTATTTTCTGTGCGTAACCTCTGCCAAGAAAAAAAAAATGTTTTATTTGCAAGCATTTTTGAGAGGAAAAAAAAGATTCCTAAATCACAGTCCTGAAAACGTACTACCTTTTATAAATAAGAAAGGAGTCTAAGGGATGATTACATTATCAAATGTCAAAGACTCAGAGTAAGAAATACACAGAAGGCAGGGCACCATGGTTCACGCCTGTAATCCCAGCTCTTTGGGAGGCCAAGGCGGGCAGATGGCTTGAGTTCAGGAGTTCCAGATGAGCCTGAGCAACATGGTGAAAGCTCGTCTCTGAAAACTACACACACACACACACACACACACACACACACACACACACACACACACACACACACACACACACTTTAGCCAGGAATGGTGGTGATGAGCCTGGGCAACAGGGTGAAACCTTGTCTTTATGAAACACACATACACACACGAACACATGCACACATGCACACACGCACATACACACACACACACAATTTAGCCAGGAATGGTGGTGCAAGTCTGTCGTCCCAGCTACCTGGGAGGCTGAGGTGGGAGGCTGGGAGGTGGGGGCTGAGGTGGGGGCGGCGGAGGTTGTAGTGAGCTGAGATTGGACCACTGTACTCCAGCCTGGGTGATAGAGTGAAACCCTGTGTCCAAAAAGGGGAGGGGAGGGGAGGGGAGGGGAGGGGAGGAGAAGGGAGGGGAAGGGAGGGAGGGGAGGGGAGGGGAGGGGAGGGGAGGGGAGGGGAGGGGAGGGAGGGGAGGGGAGGGGAGGGGAAGGGAGGGGAGGGGAGGGGAGAAGGAAAGGAAAGGAAAAAGGAAAAGGAAAGGAAAGAGATAAAGAGAAATAAATACACCACGGCAAAGGAAATAATCATATTCATCATTCCAGCTGTGATTAAATTTAAAATACACCCTACAGTACATATAGAAATAAGCTGTTTCGTTTCTATACTTACCATAATGACTCACAATCAAATATTTTCTTATGTGTTTTAACATCCTCATTAGAAAAGATTCTAACTTGCCTACCTCCAACAGAGCCTACCTATATAATCAATATTCAAATGTCAGTTGAATGAAGACATAGGAGATATAAAAAACGCACATTCATAGGCTAAACATCAAATTTTCCATTTAGGGCCTGGCTCAGTGGCTCACACCTGTAATCCACTTTGGGAGGCCAAAGGCAGGTGGATCACCTGAGCTTGAGTTCAAGACCAGCCTGGACAACATGGCAAAACCCTGTCTCTACAAAAAATATGAAAATCAGCTGGGCATAGGGGCATGTGCTTGTAGTCCTAGCTACTCAGGAGGCTCGGGTGAGGATGGCCTCAGCCCTGGAGGTGGAGGTTGCAGTGAGCCAGTATCACATTACAGCACTCCATCCTGGGCAACAGAGCAAGATCTTGTCTCAAATTTTTTTAAAAATGCCCATTTAGACTTCAACAGTCTCCATTTATAATATAGTATAGATGACGAGTTGCAAAATTCTGAAAATACAAATAATTTATTAATTTTTTCTGAGAAAACAGCTCCAATTACTAGCACTTTCTCATAGTTCAAAAAGTAAAACCAGATTTTTTAAAGAAACACTTTACCTAATTATTCAATGCCTGGTTCCCAAAAAGTTGTCTAATTACTGTCATCAAGTATTAAGTCCAAGTCACTCTACATTTTTAAAAAGTTATTTTTGCATATCCACCAATATAATTGCTTATTAATCCCCTTTAGAAGTTATCTTTTTCATTTTCAAATTCCTCAGATGTTGTCCCTTCATTCTGCCATCACTCAAATTTCAGTTTCAAGGTAATTGCTTTTTTTTTTTTTTTTTTGAGACAGAGTCTTGCTCTGTCACCCAGGCTGGAATGCAGTGGTGCGATCTCAGCTCACTGCAACCTCTGCCTCCCGGGTTCAAGCGAATCTCCTGACTCAGTCTCCTGAGTAGCTGGAACTACAGGCGCATGCCACAATGCTCAGCTAATTTTTTGTATTTTTAGTACAGACGGGGTTTCACCGCATTAGCCAGGACGGTCTCGATCTTCTGACCTCGTGATCTGCCCGCCTCAGCCTCCCAAAATGCTGGGTTTACAGGCATGAGCCACTGCGCCCGGCCTCAAGGTAATCACTTACATTTTTGTACCAATTTGTTCCAGAACTCAATCAAGCCTTTTTCCAGCCCCACCTTCCTATAAATTTCTGCTGAAAAATGTCTGTCTCAGAAAATTCTTCCATCAATTCAACCTATTATTTTGCTAGTAAACGCTTAAATATGGTTTATTATAACATATAAAGTCTTAGGGCAGGGAAATGAGAGGCTCTATGAATTACTGCATCTTATTAAGTGGATCACAAATTGAAACAAATCTTAGAGTTATTACAAAGATACTTTGCAAATTAGATTCCCTGTTCTATTCACTACAATTCAGATGATCTGAAATGGACATTATGATATATAGGAAAGTTAATAACTAATCTCAGACAAAATAATAGCTTGAGAAGTAGAAAATGTTCTCATGGCTTGGCTCCTCCTACTGTGTGCAGCATAGTGGTCTACACAAATAAGCAATTATTAAATGCTGCTAAACTCTAGAGAGTCAAAGAAATAAATGGGATTCTCACCATGTTCTCAATCATACTACATCAACAAAAGGTAATGTTTTATCTCAAAAGACTCAGAAAACTAAGTTCCCACCAGACAACTGAGTGAACGAAGTTATGACAGAAATCATGCTAAAATAAAATTTAGAACTGAAAACACTCATCTGGATTTCCTTCCCCAACCCGCTTTAAGGCTTCTGAAATCTATTTCATTATAAATAAAAATCTAAATTGATTTTCTTCCACAGGCAACTAACCAAATGCTTAACACCATTTAAAAATAAATCACCACTTCCTCATTTGTATAATACTTACATCAGGAATTGATCAATAGAATAGACTTTTTCAGTTAATACAGACCATTTCAGGGTTTTTTTTTTTTAAGTGTTTTTTTTGTTTGTTTATTTTATTTTTTTTGAGACGGAGTCTCGCTCTGTCACCCAGGCTAGAGTGCAGTGGCATGATCTTGGCTCACTGCAAACTTCGCCTCCCGGGTTCACGCCATTCTCCTGCCTCAGCCTCCGGAGTAGCTGGGACTACAGATGCCCGCCACCACACCCGGCTGATTTTTTGAGTTTTTAGTACAGACGGGGTTTCACCATGTTAGCCAGGGTGGTCTCGATCTTGTGATTCACCCGCCTCGGCCTCCCAAAGTGCTGGGATTACAGGCATGAGCCCTGTGCCTGGCCTCAGGGTTACTTTTAAGTTTCAAGTGTTACTGTATTTTTTTTTAACCGAATATAACAGTATTTTGGTAATTATAGCTTTGCAATCTGTTTTAATACCTGGTAGAGCTAATATCCCCCATTCTTATATTTGTTTATTATTCCCAAACCTCAAATACTAGTATATTAAAGTAGTTAAGAGACTAGGTTTTGAAGTTAGGCAGATTTAAGTTCAAATTCTCATTCTACAATTAACACTTGTATGTGACATTCAATGTTTTAGAATCTCCATTTCTTCATCCAGAAATCAGAGTAATAAAACCTATAGGGAAATGAAAAATTAAATGAGATAGCATAGCACCTAATATATGCCAAATACTCAATGATAAGCACTGCCCACAATATTTTTGAAGTTAGGCGTGAATATTATTTTACTACTTTTGTCTATTTTTAAAATTATTCTTAAGTTTTTTATTGCTCTGGAATTTTACAAGGAATTAAATTTCACTGAATTTGAGGGCCAGGTACAATGGTTTACAGCTGTAATCCCAGAACTTTGGGAGGCGAAGGCAGGTGTATCACTTGAGGCCAGAAGTTCGAGACCAGCCTGGTCAACATGGTGAAACACTGTCTCTACTAAAAATACAAAAATCAGCCTGGCGTGGTGGCGCATGCCTGTAATCCCAGCTACTTAGGAGGCTGAGGCAGGAGAACTGCTTGAATCCGGGAGGTGAAGGTTGCAGTGAGCCAAGACCGTACCACTGCACTCCAGCCTGGGTGACAGAGCAAGGCTCTGTCTCAAAAAAAAAAAAAAAAAAAAAAAAAAATTCACTGGGAAATTCATATCTTTATATAACATGATAACATGGAGCTATTTTTGTCTAGTTTTCTTTTTAAAATGTCTGTGTGTAAAGTTTTCCAGTGTTTGTTAGGTCCTGTTCTATTTTTCATTTAGGTTACTCCTGGATATACTTTTATTTTTATTTCAAATGGAACTTCTTCTTCCAGGATATTTTTGAACTGTTTATTGATAATACATAGAAAAGTTAATAACTAAAATCTACCACCTGATTGATTCTCAATAATTCTTCAATATCTTCCTCACATTTTCTAGAATAGAGTGCTTCCTAAACTTTAAAGTGAAAACCACAAAGAGGAAGATACCTAGATACAGCTACATAAAAATGTTTGTCTTGTACACTGAAAAAGAAAATAGAGACAATATTTTGACCTACCAAATTAGAAAAAAAGAGGACTAAAAGTGAGAGTAAGAATGAAATACTTAGTGTTGGCAAAGTAGTCATGAAATGGAAACTTGTTGCTAAGACAAACATACCGTGGACACATTCTTTAGGAAATTTATATACTACACAGTAAAAGTCTTTAAAGTGCTAATATCCTATAACTTATTAATTCTACTTTTTACAACTGGCTATGGAAATAATAATAAGAGACAAAAAACCTTGTTATATACAAAGATGTTAGCCATTAGCATTAAATAATGAAAAACTAAAAGCAACCTTAATATCCTGAAATAGGATAATCTCGTTTCAAATAACCCACTCTTCAATCACCATTTCCTATTCTTTCCAGCTTACTCAGTTTACAAAGTAACCCAACCCCAACAATTGTTCTCACTGAGACAATCTAGTGATCCCAACAACTTTTCACTGTCCCTCAATCTTTGATGTTCTCTATTCCTTCCTGACAAAGTTTAATTTGCAATCATTATACACCTCCCTTGCTTTTAAGCC